GGGACCTTATTCAGATTTGTTAATTTCGTGGTGATATCTTCAATTATCTAATTTTGATGATTGTTTTTGTCAATTTTGGTGAAAAGTGTTATTTTTGAAGAGCTTGTTGAAAACAGCGGAGGTTTATTATATAACCCGCACAAAAGTAATCAATATTTTTTTTTGCTAGAATGATGTGTAACTTCATACGGGAATCATGATAAAGTTCACAACTGGCGATTTAGCAATATATGGATTGTCAACCTCCTGTAAATTTGATTACCTAACGTTTTTAGGTTTATGCGCTGCAAATTACAGAACATGTATCTAAGCGGCTGCCCCCATTAAATAATTACATGTAAGCCAAGGTGGTTACGATATCGAAATCAAGAAACTCTCCGTTTTTACACAATCTGGGAAGTTTGAATTACTAAATGAAGTACAGGACGATGAAGCTGAAATATCCAAGAACCAACACATACCAACAATCTCAAAAGTGAATATTCGAGGTGTATTTTAAGTCTAACTGGACCGGAAGTGCACAAAAGTAATCAATAGTTTTCCATGCTAGAATGATGTGTAACTTCATACGGGAATCCTGATAAAGTTCACAACTGGCGATTTAGCAATATTAGGGATTGTCAACTTCCTGTGAATTTGATTACCTAACGTTTTTAGGTTCATGTACTGCAAGTTACAGAGCACGTACCGAAGCGGCCATTCCCCAGCAAATAATTAAGCCAAGGCGCTTTTGATATTGAAATCAGGAAACTTTCCGTTTTGACACAATCTGAGAAGTTTGAATTACTAAATGAAGTACAGAACGACGAAGCTGAAATATCCAAAAACCAACACATACCAAAAATCTCAAAAGTGAATATTCGTGGTGTATTTTATGTGTAATCGGGCCGGAAGTGGGAATTTGTTAGTACTCCAAACATATTTTAGTATAACATAGTAACAACTTGTCAATAATTATGGGATTATTTGTAAGCATAAGAATGTTATGTGAACTTCGTTCATTCATGGAATACTGTGCGATGATGCTATTTTCAGGGTCTAACTTATTCAGACTACTATATTGACTATGTCCATAGCTGTTTACTAGTACCAACCTACTTACTTATCCGTGTCTGACTGTTATATACAGCGCAGAACACTCGGAATAGCAGGCTCTCATATTACTTGACAATAGTCTACAAATATTTTGTAAGTTATATAATTGGTATACGTAAACTCGGATGTAACAGAAGTAAGGAAAAGTTATGTTCCGGTAAGTAAAAGAACTAATGTTTTAATTGGTCGTGAGAAGGATGGAGGAGACGACTTAACACTTACTGTTCTTCGATTAGTGAGATACAAAGGGTGACAGTCGCCTGACTCAAGGTGTTGAATCGCAACTTTACTTACTTCTTGGTCGGTATGCCTTTGATAGTATAGCTCTATAAAATTTACAACAATGAGTTTAATAATCTATGTGGGCATGGAAGCTGTGATGTTTTTCAATAAAGAAAACTTACTACGAACACGTGTGTATATGTGCTATTTATCTATTTGTTTTCAACACATGATCCTCCCCCAACAAACCCTGATAAACCGCGTTTTATGTTTGGATCCAGACACCAGCGATTTAATAAAATTAAGAAATGTCATTATAAAATATTCCATCACTGACAATGATGGGTGTATTTTACGGTTAGTGTTTGTTACGAAAATATTTGTTCACTATTTTATAAAATGGCTTTGTAATTCCCATCACCAATTATATATAATGCACATCATGTTACTACCGGTAATCAAAAATCACTATCGATAATTTTTACCTTGCCCATACCATCAAAGATGGAAGGGAAAGGTATATTAAGGGAAAGATTTTGTCCGGCGTTGTCGTCGTCGTCGTCGTCGTTGTCGTCGTTAATAATTGTTATTGTGTGCATGATAACTTTACTAATTCTATTCCAAACTTCATCAAACTTGGTCACCTTGTTCATCAGTATAAAGTCTTCCCTGAGATTGAACAACAGATGTCCTGTATGAAAATATCATGCAAAAATTGAGAAAAACTGATAAAATATTTCGACTGTTTCTACTTGTCTGGTCACTGGTGATACA